CTCAAGGCTAAAATACCAAACACCTACAACACATGTACATACAACAGCATGCAAAGCATTTGCAGTGCCTTAACAGGCTGCTAACTTAACAGTCATCCCACTCTATCCCTATGCCAAGCTGTAACATAGCGCTGTAACTAGTTGTGGACGTCTTGTAAGATGGCTTTAAGGGGAACCTGCTGAGGCTGCCAGAAGGATAGCAGGTTGTGGTTAGCCAACTTCTAATAAGAAGCGACGTCAAAGAGCAAAGGATTCACCATCCTGTTCAGATCGGACGAGTAAGGATTGGCAAAAAACAACCCATTGTCACAGCCATCCTGGTGCAGCAGTTTTCTTTTGAGTACAAGAGCCATGGCTAATCATTTTAGCGTATCCTAACGACTGCCACGTCATTATCTAAGCACACGTATGCTCGATTTCGAATCGCGACCCCAAAAACATAAACCACCAAGACAAGCAACCCAGACACTCGCTGCTGCTAAAACAAGTAAGCAAAGGTGCCGGTTAAAGAGTTTCCGGTGAAATGTAGGACCGATCGACAGATACTTTGCCAGAGGAAGATGTAGTATGTAAGCCTAGAATGATTCTTAACAAATCAACATATAGCCAGGAAGCGGTAATATGTCCGTTACTTTTTGACAACACTCTGAGAGTGTTCGCCGAGAAAGAGTCTGGACAGGACAGAAATGGGAAATGGGAAATGCTCTAGGCAAGAAAACATGTATATGGAAAGTACTTGCGATTCCAAAGCCTCGGGGAAAGTTTTAATAAAGAAATGTGCAGAGATCAAATTTAAATTTAGACTCGTAAACGAACTTTCTGATGTAAAAGCAGCAGACGGATCGGGGATAATGATAATGATGATGTGGGAGGCTCTTCTTCTGTACACACAAATCGTGGAATGAAAAAAAAACTCAACCTCGTTTGGGCTGCAGGATAGTAAGCAGCTTAAAGCCGACTTTAATGAATGTTCAGAAAGTCAAAAACGTCTATCGTAACCTGGAAGCAAAATAGGTCCTATGGGTTGCTCAGCAAATAAAAATAATAGATAGCTGTTAACAGTTGAGTGTTAACATGCGATCCACTCACAATTAGTCAGAAAGAGGGGAAACATGTTGCCTTAAAGCTTCCCACATCCAAGCTCACAACCCCAAAATCCACATGCCCACATAATTATGGAACCAAATTATACCTTTTAAGAAGTAGCTATAAAAACGCGCTTCTGTCCCAAAACCGGTCCGCCGTCGAAAGTTTTGGCATAAAGCGTGCGAGCCCTGGCTATTGGCATAAAATGTAGTGCGAAAAGTTGCACAGAGGTGGCGCCAGCAAAGCGTTGCCACGCTCCAAAAATCACCACAAAAAGCATCGCCGCCGACCTTATCTTTAGCCCCTGACCTCGTTCCCCTTGCCACATTGACCCCATTAGCATAAGCAAGCAAGTAAGCAAGCTTTCCGCAAGCCAATGCAACTGTAACTGTAACACACTGTGTGTGTGTGTGCGTGTGCGTGTGTGTGTCAAAAGTGTGAAAGTGTGTGCGTTGGCTTGCGTCTGTTCTGGGGCTGACCATTTATGGGTTAGTGTGCGTGGCTGCTTGGCTGCGTGGCTGCTTGGCTGCTTGGGTGTTGCCGCAAGGGAGAGATTACCCACGAAATGAGCTCGACTCTAATATCGTTTCACAATACAGGGAAAACTCCCTTAGTGGACACCTCTTTCATCCGGACACTCTATTCGGCGGACACTTTTTCTAAAACATTCGATGGGTGTGTAAATTATTTAAGTATCCCGTATCCCCTTGGCCGACCGTGAGTGTCCGGCCAAGATAGTTTTCACTGTACTGCGGAATCAGTCCACATCAGTGCTACGATAATACTACCATGGTCGTTGATTCCCCCACAAATACGCCCTCAATGTGCTCTCTTCTTAATGAATGTGAGCAACCGATTTGGCATCAAAAAATAGATACAGCCCCGAAGAAGTTAGGCACAATGCACTGTGTTTACATAATTAAATATAGAATATAGTATTTCTTAAAATCAAAGTACCCTGTACCCCAAAAAACAAAAAAAAAACAAAACAACATGCTCTGCTGTTGTTGACAATGCTGCCACAATTTTTTGAACAAAACAAGCTAGATTGTCAAAAAAATAAAGCCAAAAAAACAAGCCAGCCTAAAAACACTATTTTCTTGGTTAAATTTAAGGAAATATCTGTTTTAATGTCTTCATATTAATTATATATTCTTAATTCATAATATATAATAATAATATCAGATTCTTGTAAAAATAATAATAGAAAAATCACATTAAATTCAAGATAAAGTTAGACATTTTTTGACTAATGAGTTCATCTAAACTCAAAATAATAAACGCGGTTGTTTACTGACACTTTCTTGATACACTTTAGACATTTTCTAACGCAGGGAAGACAAACTTTTTAGAGAAAGTATCTATATCGATAGTCGTTTATCGCTACTTATATTCATGATTTTGAGTCTTGACAAAGATAAAAAAAATATATGGTTAAAAATAAAGTAAGGCTAAAAAAGGCAAGAATTGCCGCAACACGCTATTTTAGATTTTTTCCCGCTCTAGCATTTAAAAAAAGGCAGATCTGGCGGCAAAAAGGCTGAAATGGCAGCACTGGTTGTTAAATAATATATCAAATAGAGAGAAACGGTAAGGGAGAGAGAGAGAATGAAAGAGAATTGCATTCATCATTTGCTCCAAATTTGTTTTAAGCAAGCGAATTTGTTCGACAAATTTGTTCGGTTCGACGAAATGGTCGTCGTTCGCGACGGTGTTCGCGACAGATTTTATTGTTCGACGTTTAGTTCGCGTGTGCGTGCGAACAAGTTCGCCAATGGATGGCATTGATTGCTCAAACAGCAATACGGTTCAAGTAAACAGGTCCGCAGATGAGCAAACAATTTTTGAATCTGTGAATGCTTCCAATTCAGGCCAGCGTTGTGGGGAAAATGGAAATAAAACTAAATGAATACAAATATAAACATTTTGCAATAAATCGTGGGACAAATTACTCAAAAACAAGCACAAATTCGATGTAGGCGCGAATCGAAATGGCGCTGAGTACACAAAATAAAAAGATGCGTAAAATCAGGACTGGTGATGATGACAAATGTACATACATGTGTGTCTGCCTGCAAAAAGTCCAGATCTTAATCCTAAGAGAACCTTTGGGGAGTGCTTGGATCCTTGAAATAATGAAAAGAATCAATCGTAACAGATCGTAGGGATCACTTCTTCAAAACTTGATTATTTCAATGTCTGGTCGCATATTAAGAGTAACTAATAGTAATGGAGGACATGTCTAGGAAATTAACGCTAAAAACAGAAGTATTTTGAAATGAAATGTATAATTTCTGTCTGTCTGTCTGACCGTCTGTCCGTATGAACGCCTGTATCTCAGAGACTATAAAAGCTAGAGACACCAAACTTTGCACAAAGATGCCTTTTGTGTGCACGCTGTGGAAGTTTGTTTTATTGTTTCTATTCCCCCCCCCACACTTCCACCCCATGGGGGTTTTCACGATTTTCCATTCGTATAATAAATTTTATGCAATATGTCCTGTGTCCTGAATATGCAGAAAATGTTTAGGAATTTCCCTCCCTCTCCCCTCTCCATAGCAATGAGCAATTTTCCATAACTCCCGAATTTATTGGAATTTTTTCAATGAATTCGGAATTCGGAAAATATATGCAGATAGCGACTATGAGTCCGTATGCCATACAATGTATGTATGTATGTATGTTTAATATATAATACAGATAAGCCAATTTAACAGGAAGTTATAGCCATATATGTATACATGACCAAGCAGTGCCCGCAGCTGTTGTTGTTGTTGTTGTTATTTCAAAGTCGGGTCATCCGACTTTAGCTTCTGTACTTGTTTTTTCTGAAAACAGATGACCTATCAAACCGAATCGGGCGACACTCAATTAATCGAATCAAATAAAAGTATTACACACATTTGAATTAATGTCTATTTGTATTGAAAACTGCGGCCAGACACAGAAGTACGAAAATATAAACAACTTCGAATACAATTTGCATTTCTGTGTGGGTTGCTGAACTCGTTTTCGAACTCAAGATGCACCTTAAATCTTATTTGGAGAAAATAATATTGAATGGCTGGAGTCCCTCAACACAGTGTCCTTGGCCCAATCTTGAATTTACTGTACACTTCAGATATGTCCGTTAATTCACAAGAATCCCTCCTGGTTGCAACCTTTGCGGATGAAACTGTATATTCCTGGCTAATTCTTGATGCCCCAACGAGGCTGCAGAAGTGCTTCGGCAAGTGACTTCGCAGAAAAGTCAACCATATTTGCTCTTAATAGAGGAATCGTCCCTCTAAAGTCTAAATTCCGCTCTCATTCCGGTGGTGGACGAAATCAAATATCTGGGTCTCACCCCCCTGGAAACCCAACATTGTTGCTAAGCGCAAAGAATTCAACCACAAAATAGAAAAGCTAAGCTAAAACTGAGGAAAAGGATATAGCTATATAGGAGTATGCTTAAGCCAGTCGAAGATATCATACACTACAATCCTGCAAAGATTCCAAGGCAGCTTACTGAGAACGATCTCCAAAGCTCAATCGTTCGTAAATTTTAAGGACGTTCATCAGCAACTGGGTGTCCGTACATCATACAAGTAAATGAAATAGCTAGGCTCAGCAGCAGATTCGGCTCTCTTGGCAATAGTAGGGAGAGCCCACCCGCTAGACCTGCCCTTCTGGCCATCAATTAACCAGTCACCTTTCCATACTACAAGTATAGTACACAACATCTTACAAATGTAAATATTTTATCAAATTTTAAATTGAGATAGAGAAATATAAGGGTATTACGAAAAATCTGAAAGATTCAGAAACCCATCATTTTTGCAATCCCCACACGTTTGGCTAAATACGAGCATTAGCCTCACTCGAGAGTGCCACTTTGAAGATACTTTTGAAGCGGCAATTGAAAGGCGTGGGCCTTGCGGTGCACCTGATTATCGTTTTTATATAATGATAGCATTAAAGATTACAAAGAAAATAACAAAAAAAAAAAACGAGAAAAAAAGAGGGGAGTACAGTCGATACGGGGGTTGGATGTTTAGCTCGTCAGCTTGGAGCAGGCGACTATGTTTTGTGGGAACTGGGTGTAGTAGGCAGTCAAGGTGTTGACGGCATCGCTTACGCAGGAAACAGCATTGGGACCGGTCTGTGGGATCTTCTTGGCCAGGCTGACGGCGTTCTTGACCTGCTTGTAGAGGGAGAACACCTTGGCCAAGGTCTTGACAGCGCAGTTGTTGCTGATCTTCTGATCGTCGGACGTGGTGTTGCAGATGTTGCTCTGCAGATTGATGATGTCGTTGCAGGTCTGGATTATCTTGACGTTGGCATTGATCAGATTGGTCACATCCTTGGAGGCAGTGACGCCACAGCCAGTAATGTCCGCGCTGAACTGACTGGCGCTGGCCTTGATGCCGACCACCCACTTGATGATGCAGTTGAAGCCCTTCAGGGTGCGCAGACTCGTCTTGATGGCCCACCACACGCTCGAGAAGATCCAGAACTGTTCGGCATCAACCTCTCCCGCTGCAGCCACATCACTGGGCAGGAATGGCGCCTCCAAGTCCACATCGCGAGGCGTCTCGACCGTTAGAGTGCCAGCATTGACCTGATCAAACGAATAAATCGCAGTACCATTATTCCCGACCTTCTATTCACTGCAAAAAGCCACAAATACTAACGCTGAGCAGACAAAAGGCCGCAAAAAGCGCGAACAGCGTGAATTTCATGTTGTTTACTTGAAGAGTTTCGGTGGAACTTTCCGGTCAATTGGTGTCGGCAGACGGCTTTTATACTTGTAGAACTGCTGCCCAACACATTGTTTATCATTCGCCCCATTTCGAGCCTTCTTTGATTTTTAATTCCCCGGTGAAGTCCAATAAACCGCCATCAATTTGATAACAAAGGCAGACACAATAAGAAGGCGGCAATCGCTGGGGGCTCTCAAAAATTGTTATCTTCCTACATACGTACAATTAATTGTCATTAGCACGACTTAAACAAACAAAGAAGCCACGTTAAATTTTGAAATGCCCTGCATTAGGAAATACTTGTATTGTTGATCTTGTGCTCCCAGATCGGACCTATTCCCAAACGGCCACAAACTGAAGCACAATCAACATTTGGTCCATCTGCCAACAATTAGAGAAGCACAGTTTTAGCCAAATTTTTCAAAAAATAATACTTGTTACTTAAATACAAATAATATATGAAGACAATTATCAGCGAGCCGCACTTTAGACTCAAAACTCAAGCTCACTGGCAATAGTATAGTACACTGATAAAAAAAAACACGTAAATGTAAATATTTACACGTACATTTAAATACTTTTACCAGCAATTTTGCACCATCGTTTCGGTAGACTTAATTTCAATTTGAATATTACAATTTAAATTTAAAGTGCCACGGTATTAAATCACAAATGATGATGTGGACGTGGGTTTATTTTATAATTTTTTATAATTATAAAATAATTCTCCCACTTTTTTGTCTACTCTACTGTATTAAACATCTTTTCAATAATACACATTTTATATATACATATGTACAATAAATTTCAAATTCTTTTGATTATTAATTCTTACCAATGAATTGTCTTGACCTTTTTTATGTCTTTTGTATAGTTTAGATCACTATTAATATATTTCAATTAAAGTTCAATAAAAAAAAGAATATAATAAATGTAACTATTTGTCATTTGAAGTGGGCGCATATTCAAATTAAATATGGGCCAACATTAAATTGAACTTTTTTACTTTAATGACAGGGATTTTCACTTTGTTTTGAATATTATTCATATTTAAATCAGCAATTGAATATGTTTTTATTGAAATTTACGATGTTTATATTTGTTTTGAATATGAAATAGTAGAGCATTGAATTTAATATGAAAATATTCATCTGTACTTTGCAACTTTTTTTGTCAGTGTACATCTAAATACCCTACACTTCACATATCATGCACTTCCATTCGTAGAACACATAAATGCAACAATTTTAAAAGTTACAAAGTATTAGTAAATTAATAATACAAAATGAGAATTATATAATAGTTACTACTATGGCAAATGGTAAAAATGATTAATTGTAATATTCAACGTTAAATAAAACTAAATTAAAATTGTAATCAAATTAAATTAATAATTAACTGAATTAAATCGAAATGAATATGTAATGACTAGCTTAATAACTTTTAAGTAATCTGGTACTTGTAAGTTAATAAATAAATAAATAAAGGGTAGTAATGGCTGATTTTGTGGCAGATCCTTTATTACTGCTTTGCCAGCTATAGCATAAATCTAGAAATCAGAACTTATTTCGATCTAACAAGAACGAATGGGCTCTTCGGTATACACGCTAGCCTTGTTGTCAATAGTTTCCATAGCAGCCCCAGCTAATTCTATAAATACTTTTAATTAATAATAAATTAGTTTAGAGCAACAGTTTCTTGAAAAGTCACAGTTGCTTCATAAATACTTTCTGGAATTGACAAAAAGACAAGAGCAGGTGCGAAGTGCAGGTGTAAATCGCGAATTACTTGTAGTTGATCAATTTCAAAGATAAATGGCATTTGACAAGCCAACTGGAGTGCCTTGGCCGTGCCAATTCAATTCACTACTGTTCAAAACAAACTGTATTAAGTGGCCTTAATCAGACAGTCTTATAAAATCAGTCCAAATCAGCCAAACAATAATCGAATGCTAGAGTCGTACCCACTCTAAAAACAAATGTGTGCTCATATTTAAGTTCAACTACATTCCCTTAGTTCTACCCTGTACCGAAGGGTTGAAGGGCATTATGGAGTCGTTTACGCTTACTTACTATTTTTATTTCAAGTGCTACTTACACCATTTTTCCATAACAGCTTTACTTGGCATTAATTTGATTTAACAATTATTTAAAACCTTGGCCCAGTTAAGGGAGTTTGTGGCCAAGCTGGATACAATTTGTCGCCTAACGCAGTGCACTCTCAATTCAGGAAATCTAAGAGCTGTCGTGACGTCAGAAGGTGGAAGGTGGTTAAGAAAAATGTACAAGTATCTAATGCCGCAAACTGCAGATCAATCGAGTAAGTCGGCCAAGATTCCAACCTGTGAGCGTAAATGTAGAACAAGATTTTACGGCATAGGTACATACAATACAATGGGAGGGACATTAAAATGTGAAAAAGATTACAAGATTTGAAGGGTTCTATAAAACAAAAATTCATTTTAAGACTGCCGGACTAGCGAAAGGTTCGTCCTGTTCTGGGAATGCATTGCGCACATGACTTGGTTCCCCGCACTCAATATTTGAGTGCCCTTAATGACAATCCTGCAACAGGACATTGCGTTTCAACTCTAGACTGGCCATCTTGAGTGGTCTCTTATGTAACTGAAAAGAAACGAAGAAACCTAAAACCAACGAAGAACCTAGTTCCGAGCTCACTTGTTTTTGCAACGAAATACCCTCAGAGGTCCTTTGAAATTTAGCTGACTCAGGTGGAAAATATTATTGAAGCCAGAGATAGATAAGCATTTTATTAACTCACAATCAATTAGTAAAGTGTGGTTTACGCTTACACTACTGATATATAATATGAAAAAACATTTTTGCATGTATCTATACTAATATTATAAAAAGAAAAGATTTGATTGTTTGTTTGTTTGAATTGAAAAGGCTCCGAATCTACTGGAACGATTCAATGGATTCTTTCACTATTGGGAAGCTACACTATCGACGGTTAACATGGGCTATATTATATTTGCAAAAAAGAATGGAATCCTTACTGAAACGCCAATAATGTAACCAAAGGTGTAAAAAAATTACCTTAAAAAACCCCTGAATAGCATGGTGTTAGTTCATAATCATCCTCGAAACATTGTCACTTTAAATTTAAGGCAATATTATTCAAAGCCCCCAGCCAAAAAAAAATTACAAATCGATCGACACCGATTCTGGACTGACGCCACATGAATTGACGGTAAAATTCGGAATTGGAATCATGCTTTTGAGAAATTAAAGCCTTCTAAGCATGTGCAATGGGACGAGTTTGCTTATTAAGGAATTGCAGGACTATTTAAGTGATAATAGTTGCTAATCAATGGCGCATCAACTGGTCAACTAGCTCATATAACGAAGATACCGAGTATACCGATGATCCCATTTGATCATTTATATGGCTTCAATTTCCGGTAGTCCCAAGACCAAGCCTTCGAATTAGTAGGGATCGACATACGAAAGCAATGTAGAACTGTATGTTGACCTTTCACGGGTCGGAGCTCCTGAAAATCAATTTATTTTGCTACCACAAAATAAAACGTCAAATAAGAATAGCAAAAAATCTAAAAACGAACAAAAAATCATTAAAATAATAATATCCGAAATAAATTTCACTCCTTCTTAGTAACTCTTAGTGTGTGTTATAAAAGGTAAAATTTTTAAAATTTTTGTAAAAATACCCGTGCGAAGCAAGAGCAGGACGCTAGTATGTAATAATTTGGATCGTTTTATATCCGGAATTTTGTTATTTGTTCATCAAAATCACTATTTTTCCTTCAAAGTAATCCCCTACTGATGCAATGCGCATATGCCAACGTTTTTTCAAGCTCCCGATAAAGTAAAACAGAAATCCGTTTTCTGTCCCTTAAGTGGCCTTCTCAATTTATCAAATAGCCAGAAGTCCTGCGGAGCTAAATCAGGGAAATGCGGTTGTTGTGGAACGATATGTTTCTTGTTCTTGAAAAGCAAGTGCCAGTGTTGCGGTGTTTTTGTTACGAATCGAGATTTCACTTTTACGAGGCACAAAAGTTCTATTAAAATGGTGTTGACTTATCCGTTAGAACTGGCAACAGCATCAGCAATGTCTCTAATGGAGTGACGTCTTTTAACCATCAGTTCTATAATTTGCTAAACGTGTTATCCTTTAATCGATGTTCTTAGTCGCTTTGGATATGGTTCGTCTTTCCCGACCGTCTGTGAACATTTGATGGCATTTAGTATAAACTTGTGTTTTTGGCTTAGCCCGTTTATCGAAAGCCTTAGCAACATAGTAAGTTAGCTTAAATAATTTCAAGCCGAACCAGTCTAAAACCATCTTATTGCAAGATTTAATATTACAAGTAGTACCAAATGCTTCCGTGTATACGTAGACAGGTGTACAAGGTTAGATAAATGATAACCTCGATCGATTTTCCTATTATAAATAGTGGGAAAACTCGTAAAGATCCGACAGCAAGACTGAGTGAACACTGTAAATCTATTGGAATTCTTTAGTATGTCTTTGGAATAGTTTGTATCTAAGATCGGTTGGCTTAAACGGGAGCTAAGAATTCTTATCCCCATCATATCTCGAATGCTATCGAATTTGTAGACTAGAAATATTTTTTAAAAATAAAAATATACATTTTGACCCATAGCTTAAATGGCAGATACATATATTTGCTAAATTTATAATAACAAATACAAGTCAAAAGGTTAAAATTGCTTAAATTTATTCACAAATTCGGTACTCAAGCATGTGACGTCACATCTTATTAAGCCGCAAAAAGAACTGCATTTAACAGCTTTGTAAACTCCACTGCCTTGCTCCTGTTTGTACCGATCTTAAGAGAGCGTGAAATTGAGAAAACTGTTCAAAAATTACTCTCTTAGCTCAGCGCATGTGCTATGCCAGACTAAAGCAGAGCAAAGAGCCCAACTTCATTTCTTTCTGCTTCCTCTATTCCTTTTTGGCTTTTCTTTTTGTGCGGGCGCCGTTTTATTTAACAAATGCGACGTAATTTCAAGCAATTTAAAACTAGAATCAGAGAATGCTTACGGATGATTGTAGT